AGTTAACCAACTAACATTATACATACTCTTTTGGTTTCTGTACCCAATATTGAAAAAATTTACAAATGTAATAAAAATATCGGTACTCGGTATTGGCAAAAATTCAAGTATCGGTATCGGGTGAGTACTGGAAAAAGTGGTATCGGTGCATCCCTAATATATATATATATATATATATATATATATATATCATTGAGAATGACAAATGATTGTATTTTTTTAAAGTACAATTTAAAACACTGTTAAAGAGAAACTGGGGAGTAAATCCTGAATAAAAAAAATCTTAAATGGTACTTTTTTTTTGCTGAGTAAATTACGATTTCCATAGCCCATGGCAAAACTGAAACGTCCAGTTGAGTTGGCCGATGCATGCATTTAAACAAGGTCTCACTGGCACTTTCCAGATAACATGTTTATGGGTAACTGAACTGATTACTAGAAGGTGCAAGATGGTCAGAAAACCTCTCCTGTACAGTGTATATTTAAGTAAATGCCAGGGATTTACATCACAGTGACACCGGATTGATTTGCTGTGTTCCTGATGACAATGTTACTCTGACAGTCAGAATTAAAAAGCCCGGCCTATCGATTTTCCCTCAGCCACATATGTCACTCAAGCAGAGGCACTGCTGCAGTCTCCGTGTTTGTGGCTTCGCTCGCTCCCTCTCTACCAGCTGCTAAATGAAAAAAGACGTCTCTGCGACTGATCTATATGGTAATGGTCTGATCTTTCACCTTTTGTCAGAGGCCTGTGGCAAATCAAATGGCTAAATATGGGTTGTGCTCATGGAAATAGTGAACTTTTCCTACTGTACAAACTTCCGTCTCCATGACCGTGGGGGTTAGTGTCTGTTTTCTTCCACTGCCAGGAAAGCTCTTGTCCAGTCTTGGAGATGAAAGGAATGCATGGCTTTCTGGATGGGGCAAGTTCTAATCTGCCTTGAGCCCCTGGATACTCAATCCCTAAAGCTGTGCCATTCGTTCTTCCGGGAACAAATAATACCCTTCACATTTTCCCTGCAACTTTCATTGGATTGTAATGCAGATCTCATGGCAAGCAACTGAGACTGGTCACAGCATGGAGCTGGCTGACAAATAATCCTGGATCTTGAAGTCTTTGAAAATCAAAAATAAGACATTATAATACTGGCCAGCGCTGAGTGAAATTAGTGAAAGATGAGTTCATGCAAATCTGGCAGAAAATTAGTTTGAAATGTTGGAATGTGTTGTCGGATATGAGATGACTGAAGGGCATTAGTTCAAACACTTGGCCAAAAAAAAAAGGTTTAAGGTTAATCAAGACTGGAAGAACTTCTTTCTTCCCAACCAAACTTGTTGAGCTGCTGCCTTTTCACATCAAGGCTGCTATTTATCTGCACCCTAATAAGGATCAAATAAAAAAAAAAAAATCAACATGAAACTGCATTCAAAATCCATTTATCTAAGCAAAACAGAATATTCAACAAGAAAATGTAGGGCAGAACTTTATTTTACCCATTGGGAAATGACTGGACCATGTAATCTGGACATTCAGTACTTGAATAAAGACCAATCTGAGTGTGTTGAGTTTAAAACATCAAACTTGGACATACCGTCATCTTTGCTTCCTCTGTCCGGAAACTCTAGACCTGTGTTGCCCAAAGGCGGCAAGCCCAGATCTGTGGGCAGATGTAGGCCACTCGTGTTGTCCTCTGTCAGCTGATATATCTGCCTCTGCATTGGCTGCAAATGCCAGTTGAGTCCAAAGAGGTGCATGGCTGCGGAGAAAGAGCAGCGGCAGATGGTAAATTTACGTGAGCTGGAGCAGTGATTACTGAGCATGTGCCTTGATGTACATTATTGTAATTAAATTAGATTCACTAAGGAATACTATAGACACTGCATCAGAAAATTAACATCCTAAAGGCTGTGGGGTAATTAAACCAAGGCTGTATGAAAACAAATGTGTTTTGACTTGATTAATCTTTGGCAGTTTAAGAGCGGCAAAAGAACCACAGCCCATTGCAGCTTAATATGCAAGTATGACGTCATTGCTGTTGTGGATTTTCTAATGGACACTCTTTCTTATCAACGAGATTTTCTAACTTAAATATTGTTGAATTTAATGTTGTTGAAAGAGCATTTATTTGATCAAATACAGTAAAAAGTAATACAATGAAATAGTATTACAATTTAAATTAACTGTTTTCCTTTTTCTATTTAACATATTTTTAAAAATGTATTTTATTCCTGTGATGACAAAGCTGAATTTTTAGCATCATTACTCCAGTCTTTAGTTTCACATGACCTATGATCATTCTAATATTTTGATTTGGTGCTCAAGAAGCAATTCTTATTATTATCATCAATGATGAAAAGAGTTTTTGCTGCTTAATATGTTTGTGTAAACAGTGATACACTACCATTCAAATGTTTTGGGTAAGATTAAAAAAAAAAGAAGAAATTAATTATTTTATTCAAACAAACAATAATGAGAACCATTATTAATAATTAGTAATAATAATAATTGAGCTCTAAATCAGCATATTAGAATGATTTCTGTGACTAAAGACTGGAGTAATGACTGCTGAAAATCTATCTTTGCCACAACAAGAATAACTTACATTTTATATTCAAACAGAAAAAAGTTATTTCAAATTGCAATAATGTTTCACAATATAATAAGAGCATACAAGACTTGTTCAAACACACATTCATTATTAACCAAGAGTTTTCCCTCAATAAACCTCGATAGTAGTTATGTTTAGGTATTGGGTAGGGTTAAGGGATATAGAATATGGTCATGCATTAATATGTGCTTTATATCTTTTTATAGTGAATAGTGTTCCCTAATATAAGGGTCCGTTTACACGACAACTTTTCAGCCAAAAACTGGAAACTTTTATGCGTTTTGCCTGTTCGTTTACACGACAACGGCGTTATGGGGACTGAAAACGCATATTTTTGAAAACGGGTTTCAAAGTGCAAGTTTTGAAAACGCCACCGTTATTGTTTCCGTGTAAACACCCAAAACGAGAATCTTTGAAAACGGTGACCTCATGTGCGTGCGTAGTACGTGTTATGTATGTAGACATGCGCAGTATGTGTCCATTTTAAAGGCAAGTGCGAACAAACATACACAACAATGGCGGAGTGGATGGTACTGTTGATGCTGCTCAAGAGTTTGCAAACGCTTCTTCAGCAAAGTGTGGATTTACTTCACCAATATTACAACCAACAGCGGAGACGCATCATATACAACATATAATCCTCACTTCCCTAGAGGTACTGTTTACTAACAAGGTGACAGCGCCAACTACTGTCCTGGCATACGTAATACAACATTTTTGGCTGTTTTCGCAGATATGTGTAAATGCAAATCATTTTGAAAACGTTGTCGTGTATACGTGAAACTTTTTTAAAACGCAAGGGAAAAACGTTTCCGTTTTTGACTACATCGTTGTCGTGTAAATGTAGCCTAAAGTGCTGTCTAACGTGTAAAATGTTAATTATTCCAAACTTTTGACTAGTAGTGTATACACATTTCTTTAAGGCACTATGAAAACAACAAAGTGGGGGGAGGGGGACATCCCCCCACCCTTGGAGAAAAATGTTGTACAACCCACAGAGAGAAAAGCCAAAGCCCACAGGGCAACTTTTCTTTTCATGCCCATTAGCTTACTAACACCCCCCGAGGCTAAACAGACAAGGAAATTGTCAAGTCAGCAAGAACACAACAAGAGGTACGGATGAATGCATGAACAGCACCAGAAGACACTGTGATATTTCACAAGGTCAACAAAAGAAGCAACCATTGGGATGAACTCTGATGGCGCAGTGAACAGGGAAGGAAGGGCCAGGCATGATGGATCACCAGGATGAGAATGGTCAGGACCAGCTTAGCCAGGCAAAACCTTGTCCTGGAAGTCTTCAGTCAGCAGATAAAATGCCAACAAAAGGCCTTGGAGCTCTTTCTTGCACAGAATGGAAGTTTAAAGCACAGGTTGTAAATAACCAAAGAATTTAATTAAGATTGTGATGCTAGAATATAGGCTACAGTATGGTAATACCAATTAACCCTAAAAGTGTTTACTTTACTGGCAATTGGAAAGTACACACTTCTGAGTATGCAGTAAGACGGTGTGGCAGTACTGGGATTCACTGAAATATCATAAAATGCATTGTGCACAGTTTGTTCAATGTTAGCATGTAGCAAAATTCCTTAAAAAAACATTATTACTCAATACTGTGGTTCACTTGTGCTATTAAAAGATTCAGAGCATAGGCCTATATGATATAACAAAATTTGCTCTACTATTGGCTGGACTATTTTGTAAGTTAAAAAGTGAAGAAGAAAAGCAAGCTTCAAAAATAGTATAGCATCCAGGCACTAATATCATACTAATACTATCATACTAATATCAACACACCATAAGGGATGAGATTTTCTTACTGTAGTACTGATATGCATATTGGGATGCAGCCACACAGTATGTAAGATAACGGCTGTCGACACAAACTATGGTGGACTACGGCGATGTCGGAGTAGATAAAACAAATGATCTTGAGCCTTGTCTTTTTCTAATGCTCCATTTCTCTTCCTACGTGAGTTCCCGTTTCTCCTTCACAAGTACAGAGCTGGTTTCAAATTGCACAAGTGGCTTTCTCTGCCACACTCTCTTGACAACCTGTAGTGACAATTCAGAGCTAAAATTACTTCTCCGCTCCACTCAATATCTCATGGAGAGGTGACAATGTATTTGTTTTGTGTAGCGGCAAATATCTTGTCTCAATCAGGGTGAGAAAAGGTCTAAATGACTGATTTATTCTTCTGTCAAAACATTTGTGAAAGAAACATATAGCTGGCATAATTACCAGACCTCCACTCAATCTTGATTTTTGTGTGATGGAACACTAAAACTGTTCAGCAGATTCTTAAAAAAATAAATAAAAAAAATAAGGAGTGACGAAACTTTAACACTGTCACCTCAATTTAGGTGTCTACAAGACACTAAGACAATGCTCATAATCACACACCCTGTTAAGTAACATTGACTATCATGCTCTTTATAGGTATGTAAAGTGCTGTGTTAAAATCCAAGTCCAACCAGAAGAATCAGGACATGTCTGGCACCGGACTCCAGACTGGCACTAGAAACAAAACAATTAATGCATTCCATATTTATCATCATACAAATCATAAACCGTTTCATGCAATTTCATGGTGTTGGGTGTTGTTGTAGGTTGTTGAAAAATAAAACCATACATACAGTATGAGCATAACTAGAAACAGAACAAAGTAGTAGTGGAGGTACTTTGCTCATTAGTGTT